AAACAAAAGACCTCTTTATTTTCTGTATTTTTCAACTGCGTGCGGTGGACATGAATTTGTGCAAAGAGCAAGCACCATTTGAAAATATGCTATCCAAAAAATTCAAACTAGGCAACGAGTAGTTCCTTTTCCCTGAAAGGATTAGTATCGAGCTAGCGACATACGCCAGCGCGCGTGAAAGACGCCTCCTGCGAGGAAAGGCGAGAAGCGTGTGACGTTTGTGGAACGCTCTTGCCGTTGCGTATTAAGCTCACTCTACTCTCCTGGAGTGAAATCAGTAAGATACGCGTCGTCGAAATTCAACTAAAAACACGGATTTTGGGCCAGCTATGTAAAACGTTGTAGGAACAAATATGGAATAGCCACCTTGGCCAACGATCTTGTAATCTCTACTGAGCAAGAAATTGTTAATGCCAATACAGTCAAACCTCTTTAATACGGACACCAAAGGGACAGAACCAATTGTCCGCTTTACAGAGGTGTCCGTATTATAGAGGTAGGGAAGGTATGATTTTTGGCATTCCTGGGACCAAACGAACTGTTCTTAATAGAGAGGTGTCCGTAAGGAGAGGTTAGACTGTATTTGTTTAGCCAGCTCAAGACGTTCAGGTTGTTAAAACGGCGCAAATGACGCTGTACTTCACTATCTGAACACCTGGAGAAGGCTCATATTTGTTACACTGTATTAGGACTATGGATTGCAACCTGTCAAAGGACACCTTGTAGGGGCATCAAAGAAGTCAGCTGATTGTACAGTTAACAGTGGTGGGTTTCAGAAACTTTGTATTATTTAATGAACTAGGTTTTGATCAAATTATCTCGTGGATGATCCCATTTTTGTTCGATTTCTCTTTGATTTGTTTTCCTATTTAATGTTCTATGTCAGTTCTCCTTGGTAAGTTGGCGCTTTAGAAAGGAAAAGAGGGCTGGGCCGAGTTACTTTCGCAAAGACTTCTGGGACTATTACAAGGGACAGGGAAAAACAGTAGGCCATTTGCACGATGACGTCATTTTATTACTACAACTACTAATACCAGAATACTTCAGTGGTTTGCTTTCTTGTGCAAATGAGGGCTTTGTTGTTTTAAACCTCGCTGGGATTACCAAATTTAAATATGAAAGGAAAAACGAAAAGGATTTTGGTAGTAGTAGTAGTAAAATGACCCGATCGTGCAAATGGCGTTTTGGCCAATAGCTGATGATCGGTACGTCCCCAGTAACGTTTGTACCAGAAACAAGAAATACGACCGTAATGTCAACCTCGATGTCTAGGAAACGAGTTGAAGGAGAAATAAAACAGTCAAACTTCATCTTTGCAAGTGCATCACAATTTTGTTGCTTGTCTTGTCACTGCATGACTACAACTTTAACCTGAGATCAGGCCCAATGTTAGCGGTTCTCATACATTCTCTCAAACGGCTACCGCTAAAAAATCTCTTTTCGTTTCGCCTTGCCCGCCGGAATGTTATTTACAAAGCGAAACAAAAACTGAGCCTGATCTCAGGTTACTACAACTTGAACTTTTTTTGAAATTTACCAAAACACATTTCATAAATTTTACTGCCTCTATTTGACGTTGGATGCTCTCCCCAACTAGCGATTCAACCACAGGACTTTGCTTTGACTTCAAATGACAATTGAATGGGGCGCAAATAAAATCTCGATATGACAGATATTTTAATCTTAGAAAATGTGAAAAGGACTACAGAGTGCACTGATTACCACATATTGCGCGAATTTTACGGAGGTGAGCTTCCTTAAAATGGGCGCACCAGAGTTGATGACCTCTCTTAGTCAAGGTCCCAACAGTGCCTACCTTTAAGACGGTTGACTACTCTTTCCTTGTCAGTTTTTTTTTACTGTATGTGGTATATCGCATTCCAAACACTTATCAAGAACATTGGAAATGCATTATAAGCGTCTGGGACGTTAACATTTTCTTTGCTTAAACCCGCTAATGTTTCCCGCTCGGGAACTTTGCCAATGAAGCCAGCTTGAGCGCTGTTCGAGATAAGTCAACTTATTTAGAAATCCTAACTACACCGTTATTGCAGACAATCCCCAAGTGGAAGATGTGGTGGACTTCATTTCCGAACCCAGTCGCACCGCGGTCACTGTGCTAACGGAAGAGCATCTAACATCCGGGCAGTACACCATTCATGACGTCGTTCTTCCACTTCCTGGTTACGATTCAAAGTAGACAGACTGCAAATTATCTTAGTTGCTAAAAAATATATATCTACGGGTCGCAACTGTTCATCAGTAGGATGCCTAAAATGCGTGCAATTCCACAATTGGTTTCGGCTCCATTAAATCCTATACCAATTGCAGAACATTTTAGGAGGAGCCACCCACCATGTGAGCACAGTCACGGACAATGTATAANAGGAGCCACCCACCATGTGAGCACAGTCACGGACAATGTATAAGTGAGGAAAATAACGCAAAGTAAAATTAAGACGTTAATAAACGAACTAAATGTACACGTCAATTAAATAAATAAAGAAATAATGCGCGCGCTCAAAATAAAATTGTACGCGCACACGTACCGAGATACATCTGAAATACAACACTAGGTAATAAATAAGTAATGTAAGGATACGATGGTGCAATTCAAGGCTGGATTGCTAATCTCATCTCCCGCAGGGCTGCACCATACTTCTCGACGATAAGACCATGGCGACTGAAGAATTTATTAAATGATTTCTGAAGTAGCTTGGTTTCAAAGCCTTGCTGTCTGAGTCGTAATGAAAGTCCACGGAGTCTATTGATGAAGTCAACTTTGGACGTGCAAATTCTAGCATATCTCACCAGTTGAGATATATAAACACCGTAAGCTGTTGTTTACCCAGACAACCACATGAAAGATCACTACAAAAAAATCATGGCTGATGATGGACTGGACATCAGTAACATGCGGCATAAAGTGAAAGATTATTCTCTGTCTGGCGCTTATCGGTAAGTCTACTTAACAAAAGTGGAACGGTCGAGTGTAGTCTTGAATAGGGCTTTTTTTTTACAGTAACCGACATTTCGACATTCAGTGCGGCGTCACAGGTGCATCACGTCAGTTGATCTTATTGGAACCATGATGAAAACCCTTCTTATTCGTTCAAAATATTCCTGTTTCGGATTGGCATAAATCCCTTGGCTTATTGTTTAAAACCAGCTAGCGTTGACCAAGTTTGGAAGATGTTTGGCGGCCTTAATACAATCCACGCCAATTGACCTCTCCAGAAAACACCATAACATACCATAATACTGTTTGTTGGTCACTCCAAAATTTTGCTTGAGCATTGTTTTCAGTTTCTCTTGAAGCCATTTTACTTCGCAAGAGAAACTAGTACTGCAGATAATGCTTATGCAAAATTTTGGAGTGACCAACAAACAGTATTATGGTTCGTTATCATGGTGTTTCTGGAGTGGTCAATTGTACTGAAGTGACGTCGACAGAAATAGGGGCAGCAGAAGGCGCGGTAGGTCAGCTCTTTTTACCAGGGCTGGAGAAGATTTTACTCTTTCGCAAAACTACCACTCAATAGTTAACAATTGCTATTTAAAGAATTTCTGCTAGACTAAACGTCCCTTCATATCCTGAGATTCCCGAGGAATAGACCAATGATGTGAACACGGGATCTTTACGTAGATCGAGGTAAGCACGCTTTATTAAGTTGGAAATATTTTGAATGAATAATAACTGCAACGGTTATTGAATTCGGCTTTTGAATGATACATGTAGAGAATTAGGCATATCTTGGAGGGTGTTATACGCCTCCTCGGTCTGCATAATTCTTCATATTATAACTCTGCCACTCAGCTCTATATGAGCACGCATTTTCCCACATTGTTCTCGATACATTTCCATTGGTGCAGTGAGGAGAACTTGTTTTACAATCAAAAACTCATTTTACTCGATTTTTTTTACAACCTTCATGTTTGATTATATTCGATAACCAGTCCGGAATATCCCTAAATTTAAGGACAGGGCCAACTGGTCACGCGGCACTTTTCAACCAATTATGTTTATCAACAAACAAATCAAGACATCGCCCCAGTGATCAAAAATTTTAAAAACAGCGGACGGAGTCGGACAGAATCAGTCATCGTTTCGAGGCTCTCAGGCATATCTTTAAGACTTTTCATGAGGCATGCACAATTTTTTTAAGTGGACAGCGTATCAGAAGCCATATTGGAAGTGTCTCGTGAAATATTCAGCACATTTTGTGGCTTATTTCTTCTTTTAAACAACGCGATGTATAGGTGAGATTTTGGTCGGTTTTCAAGGTAGGTGAACAAGCATCTATTATTTTTTCGATTCACAGATTTTTTGCGAAGTTCTAGATATTTTTCCTCGATTGTCACATCGGTTAACTTTTATCATGTTGAAAGTGGGGATGGTAGACAACCTAGAATTTTGGTAGACAATTTTTGAATCGGCCGAGGTCCAAAACACGCACGTTTTCCACTCCCGGGTCTCTCACAGAGCCGTGTTATTACCTTTTTTTCGCATTAGTACGAGCCTTTGCCGTTTTTCTTTTCAAGGCCAAAATAACTTTATTAGCGTTATGGATATTCAAGTCCAACATCTCGCCTCACTTTGCCGAATTTGCGGGGATGAAATTGAAGATCACAAGCGCAAGGTAGATACTAACCGCTTTGTTTCTGAAATTCACCAAATCTGGAAAGATTTAATGCTGTTTGATTCTCAAAATGTTCATCCACCAGTAAAAAAACAATCAAAGAAAGAAGGCAAATTTCAACTGTAAATGATGTATTTCGCTACTCATTGAACATGCACTGATTATCTGGGATAAAATTAAAACATTGCAGGTACTACAGCAACCAAAGAAAGCACCAGATGCGTGAAGTCAACACGAAACAACACAAAAAAACAAACAAGAAAAATCAATAAATTTGAACTACTTTTTATTCTGGTTATGATGACTGGTTCTTTGATTCTTGACCTGTAGAAGTTAATAGGTAGTACTAATCTTGTTTTGTGCGATCTCAACAAATTTTCACACTCTCTTTATAAGGCTATTTTTACACGGGACCAGTTTGCTTGTATCAAAAATCTTGCAAGCCACGCCATTGAAGCCCACGAGCTCTGCGATCGGTCCGGAATCAGTTCGAACACCCCAATGATTCCTTGCAATGATTAATGTTCTTATTCTCTTACATGAAATGTTTTCTTTGAAATATTAAATGTGAAACCTAGACGAATACTGTAAGCTCATCTTTAATTCTGTCCGACTCCGTCCGCTGTTTTGAAAATGATCACTGGGGCGATGTTTTGATTTATTTGTTGATAAACACAAGCGCGCCTTCTCACTGGTTAAAAAGTGTCGCGTCACCACTTGGCCCTGTCCTTAAATTTAGGGATATTGCGGACTGATAACACCAACCCTTACCTGGGTGAAACAAGAAGTCGCCCTTATTTTTGAACTGAAGTTATTCTGAGGGAAAGTGAACTAAATGCGATTTTCGTTTCTGCTTTAGCCGAATTTTTTGCCACAGTTGGAACGTGGATTTTTCCAAAATCGTCATTGAGTTGCTAACAACAATTGTACTGCAAATCATAGTTATTATGTATTCCCAATCATACTATTCTTAAAGAATGAATCACAACTGAGTTTAGGTAGCTTTCACAGGTCTGCATCGGCTTTTACAAATTTCTTTTCTTATATTTTTATTTCTCTGTTTCACTAAGGAATCATGTCAATCGCTTTTCAGTAACATAGGATGAATTAGGCTTGTCCTTTCAGTCAGCTTTCCCGCACAATGCTCACTTCAATGTACTTGATGCCCACTTTTTCGTTGCTGGCATCAGCGTATATTTCCAGAAATAGGCCTTTTTGAGCATTCAGCTTGTGTTGGAAAATCATTTCACTGCTGAAGCCGCCATCGTGGGAAGTAAAACAGGTTCCCCACCGGTCAGACAGACCTAGCTTGGTCTCGACCCTTCCCGGGTAGTAAAACTCGGCAGGCTTCGGCAAAGGCGAGCCATAACGACGATCGCTACCCATTGTGTTGCCGCTGCTTCCCTCAAGTGGATCACAAGGAGACGCATTTTTGTAATTGTTTTTGTCGCGAATATGAACACCAACAAAAAACTGACCGTCGGAAATCACGTACGAGGGATCGCTTTCTCCCTGACCGATATTAATGTCAGTCCCGATGACCATTTTTATAACAAGGTTTGCATCGGCGTTTAGCGTTTCTGCTGGAATGAGTGGCACTTGTATGAGGCGAGCGTAATTCACTGGTGCGCTCAGGAAGGTCAGTTTAGTGGCAGTCACGGTATGTTGATGGTAGATAAAGCTTGCTGCATTCACTAACTTCATGGGTGTAAACAGCTGGTAGTAAGGAATTTTTTCCTGGAACAAAAACTGGTGCGCTCAGGAAGGTCAGTTTAGTGGCAGTCACGGTATGTTGATGGTAGATAAAGCTTGCTGCATTCACTAACTTCATGGGTGTAAACAGCTGGTAGTAAGGAATTTTTTCCTGGAACAAAAAGTATAAGTTTTAGTGGAAATTGTAATTACAATGTACGCGTTACGCGTTGTTGACTTATGGGTGTTAGGCTTCATTAACTGCGTTGAACAATTCTGTTGTTAAAAATTTCTTTACTTGTATTAAAACTGTCCTCCTCGCATCGGAAATTTTGCGTCGGCAAGTTTCAGCTGGACTAAATATGCTTGACAGAGAAATGATTTGTGATTTGTGGCGCCCTTATGTTGGGGGTACTCCCTTATATAGGCTATATACGTGCGGCGCCAAAGGGTATGTTTTTTTAGCCGTTTTGGTCTGAAACTAAGGGTATCAATGTCGACCATTTTGGTCTGAAATAGGGTATGGTTTGTGCATGCTAGTCTTGAATTGGGTGTGTTTTTTAGAAGAAGCTACTTCTTCCTCATTAGGCGATAAGACCATTTCCCTTTTAATGTTTACGTCAACCGTGTACGTGCCGTAACATTTTGTCGCGCGCTCCGGTCACGCGTCAGGTCTGAAATAGGGTAGGGAAAATAAAAGGGTTTCAGAAAGCGTGCCGCACACCCGCACTAAATTTTTCTGGAAGTACCCCCTCCCCCCCCCCCCTTAAGATTCAGTTAAGGTGTAAGCGTGTGTCAGGGTAATTGGATATATTTTACGTGTTGCGTGGGCTATTTCAGTGTGATCATGTGAAGGTCTTGGCCTTCGATTGTAAGAGAAACGGGTATTTCTCAGTCCCCACTAACTTTATAAACGAAAATTGAAAGGCTGTTTCGGGAGTTTTAAATTTCGCGATTTTGTGAGAAATATTATAGTGAACAACAGAAATATTTACCGTTTAATGTAACATGTTTCTAACTCATTGTTGGGTCGGGTGTGTATACTGAAAAGTGCGACGAAGAAAGGTAATTTTCGTACCTAAAACTAAACCCATCAAGTCTGCAACTAATAGCAACTATGATAGTTTCATTGTTTTACGTAATATCTTGATAATTTTCGCGAGAGTTGATAACTTAACTACGTGTAGATAAGGGCCTTCAGTTCTGAAGAGCTATCCTTCGAGGATTATGCACAGTAGACCATAAAGGAATTCCATGCTATAATGTTGTGGTAGCATATACATTTATGCAGGTTGTGAAATATAGAGTTAGAAGTTTCTTACCTTGGTCTCAGCTGAAGAATGCTGCACTGAGAACAGTGCAGCTAAGAAGATCAACACTAGCATTATATGAAACAGATTATAGGGAACGAATCGTTCTGGCATGCGGTAGAGCAGAAATAAAGGGGAAAATTAAACATGGAATATACTTATAATGACGACAGTGACAACGTCTTGACTTTTGATTGGATAACTTTTACATGATTGACGGCTGCGTGAAATCTCGTTCCCTCCCAGAGGGCGTTTAGTGGGCTAGAGTATCGCGGCCCATGGGAACGCGTTTGGGCTTTATGCAGTGACTTCGGGTCAACTGATTTTAGATCACGTACGAGCATTATCTTTACTCTTGTATCACGTCATTTATGATATTCGTTTACCAGTCGTCATTGTGAATAGCGTAGAAGTCCGTTTTTTTTTACCATTTCCACCGTTCTCGTGATTAGGGAAACCGTAAACGAAAGCGCCGCTTGGCGTTTGGACTGTTAACAGTGTCCTATTTTCCCGTAAAACCGTCGAAACCAAGCGCTTACATAATGGGTGGTCATCTTGGTTTTAAATTTACCAAGGGGGCACTTATTACGGAGCCCAGTTAGTGCCACATAATTTTTATCATCAAGTTTCTTTTTCACAATGTTAGTTTTCTCTGGCACGACTCTTTTTTTTCGGCACGACTGTTTTATTGGCACGACTCCTCTTTTTCAGCACGACTTTTTTCCTACACAATTTTTTTTTTTCGGCGCGACTTTTTTTTCGGCACGACTTTTTGTTTTCGACACGACTTTTTTTTTTTGAGAAAATGCAAAGGGTGACAGGCCGCACATCTATACCGGCGTGAAACCTTGTGTTAACCCTTTATATTTTAGCTCTAACGACCATGTCCTTTAGGGATTTTCCTTTCTTGTAGGAAATGATGAGTGGTTCTTTAAAAATTTGGCGAAGTAACGGTTGGTTTTGTATGAGATTCCATTTTTTCGTTAAAACTTCTTTTAAAGTAGACACTGAGGGCTGGTACTGTGTCACGAAAGGCAATATTCTTTTGCTTCTCGTTGTTTTGTTTCAGGAGTACAGACTCCCTCTCTGTGAACTTTATATGTGATAGAAGGTTTTCTATCATAGTTTGTGGGTAGCCTCTGTCAATCAAACGTTTTCTGAAATTTGAAATATTATCCTCAAACGTAGTTTTTGAGGAGTTTGTTCGTAGGATTCTCAAGGCTTGTCCTTTGACAAATCCTTTTTTAACACTCGGCGGGTGACAAGAGGTAAAATGTGTGTACTGGAAGGTTTCCGTGTTTTTAAAATGTGTCTTTACATCAAGGATAGATTTTCCTTGAATCTTGTGCTTTTGTATACAACCGTGTCTAAAAACACAGTCTCAGTGTCAGATATTTCGGCCGTGAATTTGATAGTTGGGTGGTGTAAGTTTGCTTGTTCGATGAAGGCTTCGATGTCTGGTTTACTTATGTCCCATAGGGAAAAGATATCGTCGATGTAGCGTTTCCAAACTGTAGGTTTAAAAACGGTTCTGCTTAGAATTGTTGTTTCAATATGTGCCATAAAAATATTGGCAAAAGAAACTGCTATCTTTGTGCCCATTACAGTACCATGGGTTTGTAGCTAGTGTTTTCCATTGAACTGGAAAGAATTTTCTTTGAGGAGTAGTTTAAGCATTTCCCGCAGGTAATGTGTAGGAATAGAAGGGTTGTCTTCGTAGAAGTTTCATATGCTTTACAGACAATTCCAATGCCCTCGTTCTGTGGTATATTTTTGTGTAAAGACTTGTGACGTCCATCGAAACAAGAAATGTCTGTTTTTTCACCTTTTTGTTTTCAATAAAATTTATAAAGTCGGTGGTATCTTTAAGTTATGATTTCTGTATTTTGATATTGGTTGCAGTAGTGAATTACGATGACCATGTGCTCCATGCCACTACAATAATATTGGTCAGCGGCGACCTCTCCTGGTCGTGCCGAAAAAAAAGTCGTACCGAAAACAGAAAGTCGTGGCGAAAAAAAAGTCGTAAAAAACAATAGTCGAGGCGAAAACAAAAAGTCGTGGTGAAAAAAAAGTCGTGCCAGAAAAAACTGACGTCGTGAAAAAGAAACTTGATGAGAAACTTTAGGTGGCACTAACTGGGCTCTCCTCTCAAAGCATGTGCCCACAGGGTGACACAAAGAAGCTACGGAGAGAGAAAACACTAAGTTGAACTCAGGTTAGGGCAAGCGTACTAAGGGTTCTATCGTATCGGGATAGATGGCCACAGTGTGATTTTGCGTCGACGATGTACACCTCAAAGCCCTCCTCCCTCGGCGCAGTGGAAACCAAGATGGGCGATCTTTAAATCGTCGATCTTACCAACCTCGTCCCCAGGATCCTCTCCTATCCGTTCCCTGGGGACGAGGTTTTCATCTTACGTGAGAGTAGGGGATTGTTTTAAGGAGGCAGCGTGACCTAGTGGTTTGTGCGTCGGACTCGTTTCCAGCCGTCCCGGGTTCGAGTTTCGCTCAGACCCCGTATGTGGATTTGTTATGGGTCGTCCCGAATTCATATCCTTAGCGACGTTTGTAAATAGCGAACTGTTTGCTTCCAGCCCGTTGGAGTTTTTAATCCTTCTCCCCATGTGAGGGAATCCAGATTCCGCAATCCTAGAAATTTTTGCTTGTGGAATCCGGAATCCTGGGCCTTGGAATCCGGAATACAGCTGTAGGAATCCGGAATCCCAATGTTTTGAAATTTCTTAGAATTCAAGGAGACACTGTTGTAATATTCAGTTCTAATTTATTCTCGATGGTGAGAAAAGTAGATTATAACAGACTTTTTATTAATCAAAATTGTCGTGCAACGTTTGGCATGGAATGAATTCAAGACGCCGAGGAATTTTTGTTTTGCTTTTTCTTTATCAGTTTTTAGCGTCTCAAAAAAAAAAAAGAAAAAGAAAAAGAAAAAAAAATGGAATATCGTTATCCATTGTCTGACTGTCTGGAGGACTTGTGACCTAAGTTTAGACCAGGAACTCTGTACGTTTCCCTTAAGCTTGAGTACAGAAAAGATTTGACCATGGATTTCAATGGAATAAAGCCACTTCTTTTCTAGTCAGTGGTCCGTTGTTTAGAGTTGTGGTATATGTTTGATTTAAAGCAATTTTGTTGCATGTCCGTACATACCAGTGAAGAGTTTAAACATGATACTTTTACAGTTGAAAAAACTAGCAGAAGTGTGTTTTTAAACCTGATAATACGCTACTGCAAGTTTTTTGAACGGCTTCAAAATCTCTTGATAAAGATCAACTCATTCTTGCACTAATAAATAGATTTGGAGTTATTTTGGTCTAAAAAATTGGACGTAAAGTTTAGCCGTGTCTTTATCAGATATAAAGACACTAGTTAAACATTAATTTCTTTTGTGTTTTCTTCACGAATTTTTAATGAGTTTTATATTTTTTTTTTCTGAAATCACCCAGCCCCTTCCTCATACGTTAATGGCTGACTCCTAAAGTTAAGTATAGTATAAGTGTAGTATATGAATATTATAAGTATAGTATAAGTTTATTTTTTAAGGTGAAATGTTAAGTATATAAAAAAGGCTTCGCTTTAGTTAGGCTTGGCTAAATCTATATTATTACTCCCCAAACTTATCATTGTGTACAACGCAAACTGTAGTTCAATTTTATCCGTAGTTTAAATTTCATTTTCCTTTGTTTATATATAAGATGATGAGCGCTGATCCACACCGGTTACCACCGTTTTAGGGAAATCGGTCAGATTTTTCATAATAAATATATAACTATTTTAAACAGAAAAATTTCCGAGTTGAAATCTGTCAATTGGTTTTGGCAGACAGTAAACATCCTGTCTGAATGACTCAGAAGACTTTTGGTAGTTGAAATTCAAAAAAAATTTCAGAGGGAGGAAGCCCCCGGACTCCACTAGAACCTTGCTTTTTCGGCGCTTGTTTAGGAAATCGGTCAGTATTTCATCCGCGCCCTGAGTTCGGAACAAAATAAAATTTCTCCTCGGCTAGTTTACATTTATACATTGGATTGTCGTGAACAAAGTCCTTTCTTGCCGCCAAAATTTAACGCAGAATGAAATCTAACAGAATAATATTTCTCCGTTTTTCCTGAAACTGGATTAGATACACGTCATCGTCGACTTGGTGAAGGAAACGGAAAATAGAATACTGTAAAGTAAGCAGATGCCGGGGGGGGGCACTCAAGGGAAGTTTGGGTAGAGGTGTGCCCCCAAGGCCCGCAAACCCCGACCCTATTTAAGACCAAAATTGTTCATTTCTCTACACTGTTTAGGACAGGAAATACTACTTCCCGACCCTGATTTGCTATTTTTGCATACAGAATTTAATTCTGTATAGTTACTCACCTCCGATTGCGTGACCAGCCAATTATCGATTATCTCCTGCGAAAAATAAGTGCACGAGAAACCAAAGCTCTCGGGATACAGTAAATTTATTATTTCCTGTATGACCAGTTGTCCTTTTGTCATATTTTAAAAGTGGTTAACTAAGATGGTTAGCAAACATACTGTCCCACTTTTAAAAGTGGTACAGTAACTGAATGTTCTGTTCTTCTGATTTTACCCCAACCCTGGAGTGTTCAAAAGATATATTTGCACTACGCATGAAAGGCAAATGAATTAAATTTTAAGGTTCAAGGCGGTTTTTAAGGCATGGGCTACCAATGGATTAGTCAGACTTGTCATAAGGTGCATTGCACAGAAAATTGCAGGCATGGTATCTCTGCTATTGTATGTCCAGTAAGTGATTTTCCAGTAAACCATCGACTTTTTAACCCCAAAAGTTTTTTCCGTCCAATTCTTATCTGTGAGATCCAAACTTAGCTAAATTTCTATAATTTGTTGTTAAATACAGTTCTGCAAACAACTAAGTTTTTAATTTTGTGTAAAAGTTACATGAAATTGTATTGTTTAGCCGTTAATCATCATGCTTCCTCTCTTTAAGTCTAGTAGGACTTAAGCAATGGCATTGCTTAAGTCCTACTAGTTGTTCTCCATGTCTGCTAAAGAGGAAACAGTTTGCTTTTTTCAAGAAATTGT